CTGACTTCTTGTCATACGTGATGTTAGACGCCTTCGCGAATTTCGTACCTGAAGTAAGAAATATGACAGTCGCAGTCAGTGGAATCTACAGCAGCGTATTGATTTAAACGTTGATGTTGCTTCGTGGACGTACCATCTTTCCCCAAAATCTCTGCTTTATGAACCTCGATCTCCTTGCAATTAAGCACAACTTCCTTGGTGGGCCGGGTGATGGTGGAATCTATCGTAACAATACCCTTGTAACCCCAAGCACCACCAAGCTCGAGATCGTATAAGGACACATGGTAGTGCACTGGTTTAACCCTGTTACTTCATCAACATTTGTCCATGATGTTGAAGCCAGGTGGCAGAGGTTGCAAAAACTTACGCGTCAGGAAGTGTATCTCTATCCGTCATTGCCATTGCGCGTACGTCAAATGAACAGTGCCTTACAAGCGATTTCGAAAGATCAAGTATGACTGGGCGAGGGAGGAATGTGCAGGAAGGGAGACAAAAGCGAGAAGAAGAAGAAACCCCACGAGAAGAAGCAGAAGAGGGGAAAGAGGGGCGGAGGAGAGACAATGGCCGGATGGGTCGACAGCTAACAAAATGATGACAGCGGATTGCTTCAGGGATTACGCCAGCGCATCTGGTAGACACGATGCAACACCTTCTCCCCCACATCTGTTACAAGACTGGCGACGGCTATTGTCGGGGATACTTGGAGAGCTTCTGCTAATCTGCTTATCGAGACATGGGAAAGGAAGGGCAAGGATGGAACGAAACTAGGGTGAAGGATCTCTCTGATAAATCTGTGAAATATTGAAACTGTGTTGAACATCGTACTGTACTACTAGTATTTCTGCTACGGTAAATAAATACCCTAGACATTGTCGTCCAGGTAGACACCTTTCCAGCGAAGTACCTTAATTTTATGGTTGACACTGATACTATCATTGTACCATTACTCTATACCTACCAATACCTCTGAGATCATCTCTATCCATCTCTCCACGGCTCTGTCCCTGATCAGCTATTTACCGACCTATTGAATTTTTGGAAGGGGAAGGTGATAGTAATATAGAGTGCCTTGTGTCTCTGGAACAAACCTTTACCTCTCTACTCCGTACCTAGGTACCTTACCCTTCCAGGTGGATTTCATCACCTCAGAGAAATAGAGCTGAAATTTTCAATACGGAGCTATGGCGGAGTTCCGGGCAGTCCCAGAACCCTAGTAGGAGGCTAGGTACATCTTGGCTTTTCGGCCCACTCTTTCTCGGAGCAAATCACCGATTACCCAAGCTTTCATTATGACTTGATGAGTTGATGCATTGTGATAAGCAGGAGCATTGTTAGCCAATTTTTCCAAGTCTCATGTAGATCGCTTTTGATTGACTCAATGCTCCTAACATTACCACACACTTACAGACCGACACAGTTACTCCACTCGACTCTTCGAGGAGACCATGGCTGATTCGGACGAAGAGTACGTTGGTGAAGTTTCTGAGGAAGAAAACGATGTCAATGGTATCCGATATGCCCGGGAAACGGCGCCTGTATCCCGCCCTAAACGAAGAAAGCAGCGCGGGGGTGCCGAATGGGAGGTTTCAAGGACTTGGGAGACCTTGGTGGAGGGTGCTGATGGCACAATCAGCTCGACGGTCGAGGGACTTTTAGAAGCCGGGAAAAGGAAGAGGTAAGCTTCGCTCAGAATGGAGACTCCATATACATTTTTAGGGCCGTTGCACTGAGCAGCATCATAATAATCATCGCCCTGTAGACTTCTGAGAGATACAACACCATTGCAACGTGGTATTATCCGGCATCTCATCTTGATTCTGGATTTGTCCCAGTCCATGGCCGAGAAAGACCTGAGGCCGACACGGTACCTTCTTTCCCTGCGATATGCACAAGAATTCGTGCGGGAATTTTTTGAACAGAATCCCATATCCCAACTTGGTGTGCTTGGCTTGAGGGATGGTCTTGCAATCCGGGTCAGTGATATGAGTGGCAACCCTACGGAGCACATAAGTGCTATACAAGCTTTGAGGGATCATGACCCCAAGGGACTTCCTAGCTTGCAGAACGGGCTTGAAATGGCACGTGGTGCTTTATTGTGAGATCATCTACACCAGAGCCACCACACATTTCTACACGGAAAACTGACCTGGCGTCGATAGTCATACTCCTAGTCATGGAACCCGAGAAGTATTTGTGATCTTTGGATCTCTCCTTTCCTCCGACCCGGGCGATATACATCAGACGATTATCACCTTGATAAATGATAAGATCCGTGTCAGGATTGCTGGTTTGGCCGCTCAAGTGGCTATTTGTCGTGAACTCTGTTCTAGGACCAATGGGGGCGACGACACCACGTATGGAGTGGCGCTCAACGAGCAGCACTTTCGTGAATTAATGATGGATGTAACGACACCCCCTGTGACATATTCCCAAAAACAAGCCACAAACTCCCTTTTGATGATGGGGTTTCCGTCCCGTACAGTCGAGACTTATCCCTCTCTCTGTGCGTGTCATTCTAAACCCTCTTGCGGGGGGTACTTATGCTCGCGATGCAATAGCAAAGTCTGTGGGCTCCCCGCTGAATGCCCCTCTTGCGGTCTTACACTTATACTGTCAACACATCTTGCGCGATCCTATCATCATCTGTTTCCTCTTATGAACTGGGTTGAGGTTCCCTGGCAACATGCCTCGCGCAGTTTGACATGCTTTGCCTGCGGCATATATTTCCCTACGGCACCTCCTAAAGACCAGTGGCAAGCTACGGAGTCCCAGCCAAAAGGGATGAGTGTCAGCAGTCGCTATGAGTGTACGGTTTGCAAGAATCACTTCTGTATTGATTGTGATCTTTTTGCTCATGAAATTGTGCACAATTGCCCAGGCTGCCAAAGCGGGATTAGTGGGCTGGCCATGGCTGACCGGCCCAGGGGTCAGACTGGCACAGATGAAATGGACATCTCAGCATAGTTGTTTTCCGTTTCCCTTCAATTTCCCAAGAGACGAAAAGACTCTTGTGTATCACTATCTTGGTTTGTTTTGGATTGCATGGCTGGCGCTTTTTCCTCTTTTTGCCCGTCTCCCACACTTTAATTTTATTTCCCCCACCCCCTTCTTCCCCGTAAGTTGGCTTGATCTCGGAACCTGCTTAAAAATGGCGCCTTGGTACAGCATTGCTAAGTTGAGGTAGCGGGGCTTGCTAATTACTAGTCTTTCCCTTATGAGATTATCATTTGTGTTCGCCTAAGGCAGATATTAAGGTATAAGATCTTACGTCAGAGCGATTCTTGCCTCGGCTGCAAGTCTCCCCACGTATACGCAGTTTGTCATTCTAACTTCCTGGAGTCTCATCAGCCACAAGTCTGGCATCGAGTTGACAGCGAGACCTTTTATTTCCAGGACCCGAACGATATCGCCCGAATCCCCCAGTACTGCAAGAATAACGGTCCAGCATATATATAGTAACGAGCCTTTGTGGTGTCCGCCAATAGACACTCTTCCACAAACCCCAACCCCAACCCCACATCCAGACGCAATGGTGGGAAACACACCTAGTCAGGGAAGTCAGTTGGTAGAGACGCAAGAACCAGAAATTGATCTCTTTAGAAAGCTCAATTCCTACCCGTTCAGTACAGATGTTGAATTCGCAAAAGGGCTCTCCATCATCCTCGGTCACCCCGACATCCCGGCAACTAAAGCTGAGATCGATTGCGAAGATGACCTAGTAGTACAAGCAAAATGCTTCTATTTTTCGCGGTATGTCCCTTTTAACGCACATTGGCAGGCTTACGGTTAGCATTGTTTCACTTATGTGGTGTGCGCTAAAATTTACTGAACATTGATATAGTAAAGAACAGCTATCGCCGCCACTCGATTTCAAAAAATTCAAGACCTGGCTGGGTTCAACTCCGACAGCAGAGTCCTCGCCTGACGCTGAAATCCGCAATTATGATTCTCAAAGAGCAAGCGCATCAGAGACCGCAGTACCGCCTGGCTTAGTTCCTATGAATCAGCAATCGCCCTCGATTCAAGAGCCCGCTTACCCATCATCCTTCGCTCGGATTGTCGAACTCATAACGACTGGTCAGCAAATACCCGGCATTCAGCAAATACCTGATACAGTTTTGACAGGCCACGATACTCAAAGTGAGAAACCGAGGCGACGGAAACCTTGGGAAGTAGAGGATGAAATTGCACGAGGGTCCAAGTCAGCGGATGAAAATTGACGAGGACAGCCATGTCAGCTATACTATCAACTACGCATGCATAGCCCCGCGGTGGAGAGCCAGCAGTCAGGTTTCTACTTGGAGACTCCATTTTGACGCGGACTGCAGTCAAGTGGTAATCTTTCGGCCCCAACATTGTGATGCTTCCTGGGATGAGAAGCCGCTAATCTACAACGACGCACAAAGCGTTGATTTCGAGACATACAATTTCAATTCTATCCTGCCAAGCTTTTGAGCTTTGCGGAATAATCAAGTCAGAAAAGCAGAGTTCTTTTGAAATAAGCCTCTTATCTTTGTATCTTTCACTGCGCGTTCACGGAATGAAATGGCTATGTAGAGAATGACTTGACGGCAATCGAATCGCACACATTCCAGGAGACGATCCGAGATATACACTTGCCATGGGATGTTATCTTGCATAAGCCAAAGTCCCAGCATACTATCCCATACCTGCTAATATCTCTGCAAAGCACTGGGATACGACTATTTCCATCATATGATCGCTCACTCAACCATAAAAGGGAACAACAGCTTGGATGTATAATAAACCAGAAACACAAAGAAAATAAAATGCACAATCTCTCGATGAGTTCAACCGGTTATCTGGAAACTCGCACAGAATATTGCCAGCCTTCAGGCACAAGAAACAACATAGAAAATTCATCCTGAATTGCTTGTTTGCCGCAAGAATGTCGATAACATTTGCTGGTTCCTACATTCATGCCTTGCAGTATGCGAACGGCAGTGTCGCTGTGCCTGGTCGAAATTCTAGGGGCTCAGTCAACGAAATGGTGGATAGTTAGGATTCCACTGGTTTCCGCGGCTGAATCGCCCTCCATGGTGGCCTGCCAGGTGATACCGGTCATCGTTGAGATTGCTGAAACGGCCGATCTGCATGCCCACCCCGGGTCCGGGACGAGTGGTATGGGATGGATTGCAACAGAGCATTGCCACGCGTGAACCAAACTTGGAACCACGCAAAGATACCATGTGCTTCCTATGATGATTGTGTGAGCCTATATTGGTAAGGGTAGAGAGAGGCAATACCGAATGTGGCTGGCGACCAATTCACGCTGATGAGGCGGAGAATTCATCAAAATCCACTGGATAAGGTAGTTCCCATATTGATCTCCAGCAACTGTCGAAGATCAGATCAGTTGGGGGCGCATATAAACAGTCTGAAGTAACTTACTATCGATCAAGGGCATTCTGGGTCTATCAGTACGGCCAGTGCAGACCCGGGCAAGGTAGCGATCCAGAAATTCGGAGCCCCCTATCTTGAGACATTTTTCGACGATCTTGGAGGCAAACTGATCCATACTGTAGTCGACTGACCAGAGGAGAACGTGTTCAATGGCTCGGCTCTTGTCTTGAGGAGCGCCATGCTCACAGATGTGTTGAATGCACCAGTTTCCGAATTGACCATGGGCGAGCATATCGATTTTTGCCAATACCTCTTCAATAGCCGGACGCTACATAAGCGTTAGCGCAGTTCATCATCTGGTTTCGGGAATATATATGTTCGGTCGACACCAGACTGCCGAGATATAAAATTCGCGCAGTAAGGACGAAAGAAAAATAAGCGTTCCGAGCGAGGGACTGGGGAAACTGTCACCTTCTCATCTTCTACACAGTTCTCAAAAATGTTCTGGACCACTAAACTGCCAGTTTCACCCAGAGCAACTTCATGCCACATTCCTCGCAGGGCTTCATTGACCTGCGCCATAATCTGAGGAGGCTCCCCACTCCAACGGAGCTCGAAAAGCTTCTGCCACACATGACATGCGTACCGATGAATAACCGTTTCTGGAATTCTGCGAAGAAGCTCATGAACCATGACAGCCTTGTGTTCTTCTGGGACACAGTCAAAAGCCTTTTGAACTACATGACATCCGAATGGATCCATGCTAAGGCTCAGCGTGTTGCCCTTGATGGCGTTGGCTATGGCAACGACTTGCCCTGTAGTTCCATGCTCGAAGCAACGTTGAACAAGAAAGTTACCAAAACGATTGACCATGAGCGGATACGCCTGATGTGTGATTGCTTCGATGATATCATATTTCTGTTCAGCTGTTCCAACTTTGAGCTTTTGTTGAAGAAAGATAGAGGCTTGCTGGTCGTTGTTGCAGACAATTTTGTCCACTATATATTTCCAGTCGCAAGACACATTTTTATCGAGGAGCCGGCGGTAGTTGAGTGGCTCAAGAGGAGAGATATAAGTCTGCAAAGTGTTTGCACCGACCTATCTGCTTTAGCAGAGGAAGACGAGATTGCATGAATGATTGTTGTCGGAAACTCACCGGAGATGTCGTCCAGGGCACCGCATTTGCGCCAGGGGAAGTAAATTCATTTGCCGTTGGCGAAAGCGAGGTTCCGATAGGTCTTTGGTAAGGTGGGATTGGGTATAGATCCACCTGCTGATACGTGCTGCAAGGTCGAGTTGCATGGGCTCGCGGAAGCTGGTTGCTAGAGGATGCAGAGTTAAACGACGCTTCCCACGAAGGATTTTGGGGTGAAAAGCAAGGTCCAGCACGATTGACGTGGGGTACTGAGTGTCGCTGAGCACTATTTGGACTATGAAGATACCGAGCTGGATCCTCAGTGTATTGCGTAGTGGAATTACAGGTCCCGAAGGAGGGACCTGAAAGAACTCGATGTGGTTGAAAAGAGCCATTTATGCTAAGATTTGCAGTAGGGTTGGCCCAGAGCCTGTTGGCTTCCGGACCAAAGGTATTGCTTGAGAGAGACACATGCTCACCGTATGCCTTTTCGCCGGCTGGAGCATTCATATGCATGCCAAATACCTGCTGCGTCTGGGGCCACCAGAATCCTCGAGCCCTGCTGTATCCACCTGCAGATTGTGCTTCTGAGACGTCTGATTGTGAATCGTCATGGGTATTCCATCTTTCATGCGGCTGCGTAAAGTTCGAGCTGGACGCGTTGAAGGCACTATGCAAATGGCTTATCGTGTGCTCGGTGACTTCACACCCGTTGAAGTCAGCTTCAGAGGGTGTTCCAAGAGCTTGATCTAAAGTGTGCTTCATAACTCGTGTTTGTGCGAGTTCTTGCTCCTGGAGGGCCAGCTTCGAATTCGCAGCGAGCAGTTCCTTCTTGAGGCGGAGCACTTCAGACGTCTCAGTATCCGTGGGGCCAAAGCAAGCATTATCTATGGGCTCGGTGGCATGCGATATTTCCAATGTCGAAGTGAGTGGCATCACTGCAGACTGCTTGTCGCTATCAACATGATCCTCGATCAAAGCACTGTTGCTTGTCAGGAGATGGTTCTGTTGCTCAAGCAAGGCTTGTTGCTCGGACAACTTCGTGAGTATCTCTCGATTCTCAACAGGCTTGAAAGCAGACGATTGAGGCTTGGGAGAAAGTTTCGCCAATAATTTTTCCATCTCGGAATTTCTGCTTGCGTAGGCAGTGGACGAATGCTCCAGCTTCTGCTTCTAGGTTTGTGAGACAATGGGTATTAAAGGACCTGGCAGAGAAGTGCTGACCTTATTGGATGAAACATCGACGACTTCACTAGCAGTAGGCTGGAAATTTCCGAGTTTGGAAGACACCAGAGGGTCTGGTATGCTGTTAGGAGCGCTGGGTTGATTGCGTCCCTGTGAATATCATTGAACTGCGTTAGAGTATAGTTGATTCTAGACAAACATAACGTTTCAAAGCTAGAAGTTTCTTCAACTTACCGACGTTTCGCATCCAAATTGTATAAACTGTGCTTCAGCTGTCTGATTGCCTGAAAGGGCTTCGGTTCGCGATGGTCGGCGATCCGTTCTAGGGGACCCAGTTGAAAGCATGGACATCTTGCCGGCCTCAGCTACTAGTCGTACTTAAGTCTTCGCTGGCCGGCAATCTGCCGCAGCGAGTCTATGAGGCGAAGTTTTGAAGGAGACAAGAAGCAATTGTAGAAAGGTACTCAAAAAGGCAAACACACCTGGCAACGTTTGAGTATTCCAGATGTCAAGGCAAGCTGTCAAAGGGCAAATTGTCGAGAAGATGGTGTTAAGCCGAGAAATATGTTTTATTGAAGAAAAGGGACGAAAGATGACAGATGGGAGTTTCTACGTGAGAGAAAGAATGGATTCTTTCGACATAAGACCCCGGAAAGGTAAGATACCTGATGCAAAATAAACTCAAGAGGGTGCCGTGATGAGGAAGGAGCGCTGGAGACAGAAGATACCAGATGATGAGCAAAAATGGTAGAGTAAGAAGAATAGGCAGGAGGAAATCAAGAGAAGGGATCACTCTTGTGCAGTAGTGTACCTGAAGTAGAAGGACCACGAGGTGACGACGCCACACTTAGAGCCATGTTCAGAATCCCAACAAGAAAGAGAAGTTAAGCCTTAGAAAGCCTAGTACGAATAAATCAATCAACTGATATGTTGAGCCGAACGTGAGGCGGAACATCATTGTTTTAAGCCACATTTAAATGGAGGAGGGCCTTAAGTGTTCCGACATTACATAGTACTGGAGATAGAACAGATTCGATATCAGCTCTTACCTTTCCGGATCGACATGTCCATCCTCATAACCATGCTTGAGTTGCCTCAGTATCACCAGGATCGCAGGCTGATCAAGCGCCGTATTTTAAACTTTGCTCATTCAGGCTGGCATCAACGCCAATGTGAGACCCGGACGATATCTGCCAAGACCGATCGAGGAAACCAGCTGCGTATGCTCCAGCGTGTCCCTGCCAACGGCAACTATCGCCAAGAATGAGAAAATCTGGTTGCCCAACACCGGTAAGGGTAGGTACAAGACGTGCAGCTTGCTCGAGACCAGACAAGTCTGCTCCCCATACAACAAGCTCGAGCCTCTCATCCTCCAAAGGGCGAAGGAAGAGGGCACCCATGCCTCGCTCGAAGGGGAATTCATATACCTTACACTCTCGGTTCATGCTGGACTGGAGGTTTGCCTCTGTGTCTGCCTGAGACCAACAACAACCTTGGAAGAGACTGAGACCTTCGCCCTGTATGCGAATCGGAAATGATATATACTTCGATGAAGGTAGTTCGTTGCCCAAGGCAAGTGTGATAACATTCCCGCTATCGACAACTCGGTCCTGATTGCTGTTGGAGTTAATTAGGGAGCCGCATTGCCGTGATAGTTCTGAACCTGCAGCAAAATATTGTAGAAGATTACGACTGATTTGCACAGCTATGTGCTCAATCCCAGCTGAGCATATGTTGACTTTGAAGATGCCCTTGGTGCGCAGGATGGCATCCATGGCTCCGAGCTGACGACCATAGCGCTCATTCAATTGGCGCCAATCCGCTCTCTCTGAGACAGTCCACCTTCCTCGAGAATCTCTCAAAAACCACGTGCGTTCAGGCCGGATGTAACCCACTTCAAAGCGATCTCTGCCGTCCAAGACTAGCACAGAGGGCATAGTGAAACTCAAGGCTCTTGACGAAAGGTGGAAGCGATGTATATTGGTCGTATTTAGGTACCAGATTCCGTTATGCGCATCTCTAGTGACCTGCACTACTCCGTTCCTGTCAGGAGATCGCAATTGATCGACGTAGATTCCACCTTTCGCAATATTTGCTGACGACGGAACGGTGATTGTGAATGTCAAAGGAAGCCTTGGTCGACGACGAAAGCTGGCAGTTTCATTGTAGAATGCCAGAAGGGATGGGGTGGTCAATACGCCATCGAACCAGTGATTCCGACCTTGCAGTTCATCATACAGTGATGGCCACTGTGCCTGTCCAAGTAATTCATGCATTAAGCGCGAATGAAACGCAGGGACATTGTCGTCAATTGAGCCGTGCTGTTGCAATATCGGGATACCCGCAACGTTGCTTAGCAGCAACTCATGTTTAAAGCTTGACCGTGACCTCGAGAGCACGAAGGAGAGCAGAGGTTCGGAATCCCGCCACATGTTATAAGGTACATAATCTACCTATATTAGCATTCTCAACCATTGAAACTGATATTCCCGACCTACTCTCAATGGATGAGTAACCCGACACTGGCGCTGCGGCGATTACTTTGTCAGGATAATGGGTGGCCAAAAACCACGCCCCTTGCCCTACAGGAGCTTAAGCAAGCTGAGAAATTGGTTATTTGACAGATCCTACCTCCATTTGAATGTCCGACGACTATCCATTCTTCCTGTGATACGCTCACCATATCCCAGCCAGTACTGTCCATCCAACGTGGAATTGCGCTCACAGCAGCTTCGATGTCTCCAGCACCCCAAGTATCTATAGCCAGTCAGGAAGCCTCTTCCGCAGTAATTGCAACCTCTTCCATGCCACCTAAGACGTGTAAGAGGAGAGCGTCCATATGATTGTGAGAAGGACATAGGCTGGGAAGGAAGCAGACCCATGCAATGTGGAACATGATATTCTAGGACGACATAGGGGGTTCAAGGTAAGGAACACGACGAACTCACGCCAATCGTCACCGCTCCAAGGAGTAACCCCACTGGGAAATAATATCCACGCGCAAGTACCATATGCGGCATCCAACATCTCACGGACTTGTACACTGTCTGCCTTGACACCTGCACCATGCAAACCAACAATGACAGGCAAGGTGCCGTCTCCATCGGGAATGGCAGGTTCACATGTCACCGGGGGAGGGCGCAGGATGGCATAAGAGACTATGCCAGCATAATAGTATGTAAGCTTCTGGGCCTGGGATACTGATTTTTCAGTGAGTCTCAAACGGAGTGGGTAAGTTTGGAAGATCTCGTCGTTCCCGCGGTGTATTTTATACAATATTTCAGCGGATAACTCGTTCTGGGACGAATCACCAAGGTAGATTCGAAACACGAGAGGTCGTGCTTGATATCCAAGCAAGTCTAGCGGCTCGTTCATCACCAGACTATGCTGGGGGCCCTAAGTATGTGTCACTCTTATTTCGTATCTTCCCAGGGGCTAGAGAATTGACACAAACACCAATTGAGCTTATGGCAAGAACCTCAATTCGATCCGCAATATTATTATGTAGGTTGATTGATGCCCAGGGTGCGCCGAGCTTGCCACGGCACATGTCGGGCAGCAGCAGACTTTCTTTATCGACACTAAGAGGTTCGTTACGGACTTCTGCGGCAAGCGACACTACGATCGTGGGCTCTCCTATCGCGCCCGACGCTCGAACATCGCGAATAAGCCGCAGTTCAACCACATGGTCACCTGGACTTAAATCAAGAATGATGGGTACTGTGCCATAGTCATAAAAATCTCCTCCGAAATGCCGCTTGCCATCAATCACAATCTCAAGGAGCCCGCTTGTGAACATTGCCACAGACTGAGGCGCCCAGTGGTCAATATTCAATGTTCCGCGCGCCCAGGCCTGATATTGTAGAGCAGACCATCCATAGACAGCTTGCGTGGAGTTCCAGTCTATTTCTGGAAAACTCACATGGAGATCTGCTCTAGCTTTCTCTGGAGCAAAGTTATGTGTGAGAGCTCGTGCTGTTTTCCATTTGACGCTCCCATTGACTGCTAGCGCGCTGTTGAAGCTTACATTTGCATCAAAAGAAAGGCTATGAAAACCACCATGAAATTCCAAGGGATCAGAGCCCCAAACAGCCTCTGGGAGATTGCAGTCAAATCAGCTCGCAATTTTATACTTCTTTGTGTCTGGCTCTCAGCTAAGGGCGCTTGAAAGCGGCACTAACCTCGGGTACCACATTGGAAAGGGCCAAGTAGCTGCCATTCATCTGAGAATGAGATGGTTGGGAGATTTTGCGCAAGTAGGAGCTGAGGTGGATCATTCTCTACGAGAAGACCGCTGCATACTGTGGTTCCAGAATAAAGACATATCGCAATAAGACTGGCCAGACAACTTCGACGTGTTATCACAGGGTGATATTCATAAATACTAGCAGTTTCGACGCCAAGGTTCTTCATTATGAAGATATTAAGGTAGGCTAGTCGAGTTGACTTCTCATAGGCGTCAAGTTGTGATGGTACATGATCTGAGACTGAGCATGACGTTGTTTTTGAGTATCAAAGCAACGTGCAGCTACCGCCTGTAGCTAGAAAAAGCACCCAGCCACGTGACATTTTGACAGTTCTGTGCAATGCCCAGATAGTCAGTCTACTTGTACTATGCGAAACAGACAAATCAGAAGACGATTCGCCTCATGTATAGATGCCATTCAGGCACACAACTGACCGAACAACTGACCGAGATACTAGGGTACCAATATCGTGCCTTGATGTAGTTGTCCTGGCTGGAGCGTTCGCCCTTCTGTATCTAGAGATTATTATTACCTACTAGGCACGGAGGCCATTGTGTTCAATGTGTACGGCCGGATATCACAAGGCAATAAATGTAATTGCAATGACTATCTGACAACCTCTCACACTGGGTTGGTGTCATTTAAGTGCTACTGATATGACTGGATGATGAGCATACGTATATCACTAGCGGTTGATAGGGGTCAGGAAATGCTACTCAGAGCACCAAAAATGGTAATTCAATTTGTGTAAACTTTTCAATCTACTCTGTAGACAGACATTTGCCTTTAGTTTTTATGATTATGACAAGGTACATGACCGCAGGGCAGCCCCGGTTTCTTGGCATGTAGTCTGTTGCGTGGCCCTGATCCTCAATGTTCATTCGCTACCTTCTGCCGAATTCGTGGGCTTCGTCACCCCAGCGGGAAGACCGCAAACGACTCTCTAGAGATATCTACCTAGATATAGGTAGCATCTTCTGGGCGCTGAGAACTAGAGCCT